TGTGTTCGGTTTTATTGAATTCAGATTCTATTTTAAGTAATTAAAAACAAAAGGTAATGCTGTAATGGATAAAATATAACAAAATATATTTTAGTTTATTTTATTAAATAAGGTGAAGAATCTAAAATTTGCACTGTGCGTGCTTTAAATGAAATCCATTCTATGTTAAAATATAAAAAAAAAATAAATAAATAAAAAAAAAATATATATATATATATATATATATATATATATTTTTTTTTTTTTCTATTATTTGTTTTGCAATGATCATTTTAGTTATGGTTGTAAAATTATTCTAAATCTTATTTATTCATTTAGTCATCCATTTATTTGATTCATATGTTTAATGTTTCATACATTTATGTTTATCGTTAATTATATTAATCATTTATTGATTTACGTTCTTTATTTTATATATTTCTTATTACTTGTTCCTTTTTTTGTGCTTTTTCCATTGTTTAGTCTTCTAGTGATGAAATGTTCCTCTCCACTGATATGAGATATGAGAGTATCTCTCTAATTCAAGGTCTCGTGGCCTGATGTATAATAACATTTGTTATAGTTGTGCTGTTCAGACCAAGTATGAGAGAGCACCGGAATGCAGCTAAAATTATTCAACACAATCTCATGGCAATTTGCAGCTATTTGATTTAGTGGCTAATTCGTATAAATTCGTAAGATCTAATTCGTACAATTTAGTACGATTTGCTTATCCCCCAATGACGGTTGGGTTTAGGGGTGGGGTTAGGTGCCACGCCTCCTTTTTAAAATCATACATTTTAGTACGACTAAACTTGTACGAATTCGTACGAATTAGCCACTAAACTGGCAAAACGTAAAATACTTACGTTTTCTCGTGAGATCAGGCTGGATTATTCAGTAAACCCTACTCATTTATTATCATCAATTCGTCTCCTGCTTCTGCTCTTCTCTTTCTTCCACATTCAACCCTTATATTAATAGACTGTAAATTCAGTTGAATACTAGTTAACAGGTTTGGGTATTGGAAACTCTGCTGAATTGTTGTCCAGATACCTGGGGAAACTGACATTTCCTGACAAGATCTGGCATCCGGGGCTGGATTTTATTTTTCTGGTGTGAAGAGTGGGATTTATCAAAGGACACCCGAGATTAGTTTCTTTTTTGACAGTTAGTTCACTCAAAGGAAGAATTCTTACTAGTCACTCTGATCCAAAACCACTTCTATAAAGTAAATAAGTGTGAATACTTACTATCTTCTTCTGCCCGAATTGAAGATTGAACCTCCTTTGCATATTCTGTCCTGACCTTTCAACACACTCCCATATACACTCTCAAATGACTTTTACCGCCTCATCCCACAACTTTAGCCTTACACCGACAGCTTCTGTACTGAAGACATGATACCACCACCACATCTCAATTCTCATTTACACACACTCCATCTCACAGTCTCCGAGAGCAGATGTTAATTTAATCTCTGCCTTCTCGCTCCCTTGTCTCATTGTGTTCAGTCAGGTGTTCAGTGTTTTGTTTTGTTATTTGTAAAGGTCAGTGTCATTTTAGTTATGCTCCGATGTGAAAAAGATGAATAAAGAGACTGTATGTACCTCACATCTGATCTTTGAATGTCGTATCAGATCTTGCAACACAGCTATGTGTTGTTGGGACATTTAGGTCGGGCCACTCTTTCTTTCTCTCTCTCTCTCTCTCTCTCCTTCTTACTCTTTCTTTCTCTCTGCGGTATTGTACTGTGAAAACATGCTGGCACTGCAGGTCTTATTCATAGAGAAAGGTCATGAAGTAAAGTAAATGAAAAGAGCACCACTCTCTCCCTCTCTTGTCCTGTTTTCCCTGCTTTGCTATCATTCATTCGACCTGTTTCCCTTTCATTTTTTTACACTGTATATTCATTTGCTAGTTTTATTTCAGTCTCTTGTTTCTTTATTTTACGCCGGTGATGCCTGCCATGTGCATGACATTCGACGCATTCTTCTCTCATGACACAGTTTTTATTATTTATGCCTCAACGCCGCTGTTTTGATTAACACACTGTTAACTGCTGCAATGCCACAGGGAGGGAAAATGAGTTTGTAGCTTGTGTGTTAATGGAGAACTGGGAAACAGAGCTGCGCTGGCCACTAATGGCTTTAGTTGGAGGTAATGTGAACATGTGTTAGCCTCTACAAGCCCCTGGCCCTCACTATGACAAAACCCACCACTGCTTTTACAAGATCTGCTGCTCACAGCTGTGGAAAAAAATGCTCCAAGTTAAATGCTGGAATAGAGCCACATAAAAATGAAATAAGAGGGAGAGGTGATGAAAAAGAGCTGATTATTAGCTTTACCCCTCAGCTGGATCTCATCATACAGGCATTGAATGAGCTTCAAATCTTTGTATATGTGGATGTTTGATGGGGGTGGGGATTTGTTGTTCAGGTTGTGCCTACACTTTGAGGACCAAATGATATCTTCAGGATAGTTAGGAAGGCCAAAATCACCTTACAACCTATGAGGTAAACAGATTAAGAAGAAATACTATAAGTAAAATCGAAAATCAAATGTATGCAAGTATTAGGGCTGCACGATATTGGAAAAATCTGATATTGCAATATTTTATTTGTTCTGCGATACATATTATGATATGAAATGTTTTACAAGATGGTTTGAACAGCACTATTTTAGGGTTTTCTATGGAGTCTAACAGTATTCAGGTGACAAACTGAATAATCACAATGCAAAAAAATGCTTTTTTTATTTTGTTTTGTCTCATTTCCGGTCCAAATATCAAAAATATTGTTTTGTTTTCACTGTCAGAAGAAATTAGTATAAATTAAGTTTTTTCTCAAAACAAAGTCAAATATCTGCCATTGGTTTAAGTGAAATAATCTTGTTTTTGCTTTGAAATGTGGATATTCAGACTCAACATTGGATGTCTTTACAATATGACTATTGCGTATGCACACATCGCGATATCCATGCTAAAATGGTATATTGTGCAGGCCTTGTATGTATACATATATAGTAGTTAACATTTGAAGTAAATCAATTTCATCAAAAATGCCCAAAATTATTCAACAACTCTTATTCTTGTTTTAGGACAACTCTGAAAAATGTTTTTGATCCACTTTAAATGTTGACTACTATGTATATATGTACAGTATGTACAGTTGAAGTCAGAATTATTATCCCCTTTCGATTTTTTTTTCTTCTTTTTTAAATATTTTCCAAATGATGTTTAACAGAGCAAGGACATTTTCACAGTATGTCTGATAATATTTTTTTTCTTCTGGAGAAAGTCTTATTTGTTTTATTTCGGCTAGACTAAAAGCAGTTTTAAATTTTTTATGAACCATTTTAGGGACAAAATTATTAGCCCCTTTAAGCTATATTTTTCTCGATAATCTACAGAACAAACCACTGTTATACAATAACTTGCCTAATTCCCCTAACCTGCCTAGTAAACTTAATTAACCTTAAAATATCCAGTAAAATATTATTTACTGTCATCATGGTAAAGATAAAATAAATCAGCTATTAAAAATGAGTTATTAAAATTATTATGTTTAGAAATGTGTTGAAAAAATCTCTTCTCTCAGTTAAAGAGAAATTGGGAAAAAAATAAACAAGCAGTCTAATAATTTAGGAGGGCTAATAATTCTGACTTCCACTGTATGTACAGTATGTATGTAAAATAAATTTAATGTAAAGTCACACCTTCAATGAATGCAAAAAAAAAAAACTTGTAAAGATGTTTAAATGTAAATAGTTTGCGTGAATGTTTGAATATGTCAATAATTTTCGTATATTACTGCTTAAAAGCAGTAGTTATATTTGTGTTTTTGAGATGTTTGGAGCACAAATAACACTCTCAAAATCATGTTTATATGGATACCTGAAAACTGGTAAGCCTACGCTATCCATGTATTTACATACAGACATATTTCCAAAAAATTGCACTGTGAAACCAGTTCTTAAAAGTTTGCACTTTCAAAACTCAACTACTGTTGTCTTGTACATTAATACCCAAACTTAAAAAGCTTTCAGTTTTTACTTGGAAAAATAGTGTTCTGTAAATGCCACTAAAATAAGAAGAATATTAACTTGCTCTAATAAAAATGTCTTGGCACATTTGCTGTGCACATAACTTTTTTCCCTCAAGAAAAGAGAAAACAAGAAAGAAAATAGATTGAGAACGAGGAGAACATGAAAGACATGATATAGAGCGATGAGAGGAAGGCAAACAACTTCAGATGACGAATGATGTGTTGACATGATGTTGATATGTTTTTTTGAGGCAGTGAAGGAAACACTTTGAGAGCATTAAAGTGAAGATGGAGAACATGATGGAACATGAAACCAGAGGCTCTGAATATATCCAGACAGAAATGAGACAGAGAGGATGAAACTGAGAGAGAGAGAGGGGGAAGAGAGGAGGTCAGTGAATTCCTCGTTGAGGAGGAGCCAAAGCAGGTAGTCAACATAAGCAAATTAAGCGTGACAGCAGGCGTTAATTCACCAGCAGAGGGATTTGGTTGTTTGATGAGCAGATTTGTAGGTGAAAATGAGAAGAACAAAGTGCAGCGCTTCTGGACAGCCAGAATATTCTCCGTGAACCTTCCCTAAACCCATCACTCCCTGCACTTCCTTTTCTTCTCCCGCCAACATCATCCAGCTCAGATTAAGCAGTTTTTATTTCGCCTTCCTGCTACTGTGATGGCAGCACAATATTGTATTTTACAGTCAGACGTCTTGTTTTTTCACCCTGCTTCATGGAAAGTGTAGTGGTTTGAGTCAAAATAAACATTTCCATGTACAAGTTTTAAATAGGTTTTCTTATCTCTCCTGCTCTGTTTAACAGCTTGGAGATTAAACATTTTTCCCCCATTTGCGAGAATGTACTAGGCTTTGTTTAATTTTTGCAGAAATTGACCTTTTTTAAGAGAACAGGATTTTCAATTTCATGGCTGTGTTCAAACTTTGTGCAAAAAATAATCCCTGGTTTTCTTTTTTTTCTTTAGACATTTCATACTCCAAGTCTGGGTGACGAGGAGTTTGAAATACCCCCCATCACCCCACCTCCAGAGACCGAGCCTGGTATGGGCCTTCAGGACGTGGGCTCACCTTACCCTGGGCTACCTGACCATCCTAACCCTCAGCGGGGGTCTTTCACCCCGCAGTTCCCACCCCAGAGCCTGGAGCTGCCCTCCATCACCATCTCCAGAAATATGATGGAGCATGAAGGGCAAATCAACAATGGACATTCAGGGGTAGGTGTCTGGTTATTCTTTTGGCTGTTTGCTTGAACATTTTAAAGATTTTATCGCTTGCAGATGTCGAAGGCGGTTGTTATGCAAAGGCTCTAATTACATTTCCACAACATTATTCACTGGCAGTTACATTCAGCTTTCAGCTCCACCTGGATTTAAGTGCAGATTTAAATCCAGGTAGTTTTCCTTCTCTAAATGCAAATACGTTTGCCAAAGGTGTTATGTGAAAAACAAATCAAGGTGGCTGATGTTACGTGTCAGTGTTATAAAACTAGATTTGTATTTGTAGACAAAACCTTAAAGCGATAGTTCACACAAATAAAAACTGGCACATTTTATGTCATCTTTCATGGAAAAAAAAATAGCAAATTAAGCATAATTGATGCATTCAAGCATTAAAATGAGAAAACACTATTAATTATCAATTGTTCCCTTGTCTCAGGCCCCGTTTTTATGAATACATTTTAGCTTAAAAACAGCGTTTTAGAATGAAAACGATCCACATCCTCATTTTAAGCACAGGTGAGCGCAGCTCATGTCAGACAATTCATCAAGGATATACCGCTGGATCTCATCTCACTATAATTCTGATATTTAATTCATCTGTTCTCTATCTAACAACTCTTTGGTGTTTTGAATCTTTTACTTGTATTGAAGTAACGTGTTTTGAGCACAAAGATAAGTTAATATAACAATCTACATAACCACGTACAGTGATTCTGCTCATTTGACTGATTGCCTTTATTTCCTATTTTGTATAAACATATTGTTTGTCATGCTTTTATAATGGCCATTATTGATTGTTAAAACTTGTAAGCAAAAGAGACAGGGGATGTTTCATATTTTTTTTATTAAAAATAAAAGGAGGCAGTTATGTTATAGGCTCTATTTTGTTATAAATATGCATACTGTGAAGATGACGGTCATATAAATATGTAGCTACACGATGCCTTAACATTTTTAGTGTATATTAAGTTAGTATCAAAATGAAAATGGGCAGTTCCTTTTTTCATGTTTTCATTTTATCGTTAAGATAGCCAGGGTGATGTAAATGACAATATAAAGTAGCCTACACTGTTCCCTTTAAGGATTTATCAGACCTGTCCTCTGGAGTTTGTTTTCCATATCAAACGTGCAAAGTCTGAACTTCCAAAAAAAATAAATAAATAAATAAAATGCATGCAAGACTGAACTGTGCATTTAATATTGAGAAAAAGCCCCAATCAGCCACACCTCCATTTTCAGATGTCTCCTTTTTCCCTCATCCACACTAACATGGAGCAGCAGTGCTTTAAATCCAAAATGGCTTCTTCATCCTTTTCCAAAATGCTCCGTTTCCTGTGCTCAAAAACTCCGGGGTAGAGTGGACGGAAGGTGTAACCATAGCAAAACATATGCGTTTCAAAACTAAAACGTATTAGTGTAAACAGGGCCTTAAATGGTAGTTCACCCCAAAATTTGAATTTACTCATCTTCACGTCTTCCAAACCTTTATGAGTCTCTTTCTTCTGTTAAACACAAAAAGAAGTTATTTTGAAGAAAGCAGAAAACCTGTAATCATTGACTTCTATAGTAGGAAAAAACAAATACTACAGAAGTCAATGATTACACTTCCTCAGCTTTCTTCAAACTATCATCTTAAATGTTCAACAGAAGAAAGAAAGTCAAACAGGTTTGAAACAAGTGAAGGGCGAGCAAATGATGAATTTTCAGTTTTCATCCCTTTAAGCCCTGCAGTAGCTTTGCATAAACAGACTAAATTTACTGAAAATCTTCACATTGCCTCTAGGTCTCCTTGCTGAGTTCATGAGAGAAGCAACTATATTTATGACTTTCAAAAAAATTGTGTTTTGTTTATTTTTGGAGTCACCCCTGTTCATTGAACTGGTAGTAATGATGAACTGCTTTTGAAAATGATCATTGATTAACTATTTCAATTTCAGTTTGTTCAACACAATAATGTGTTGTTATGGCTACCTTGTAGGGTAAAATAAAAGTCTAGACAACCATTTGCTTGGTAATAATCACGTTTTATGATCAAGCTTTTATGACTGTCAATTCAGATATTAAAATGGCTCCTAAATGCCACCAACGTGGATTCATCGAAGATAAAGCTCTAAAATGCCATGGCTATACTAGATATATTAAAAGCGCTATAATAGAAATTAAATTTCATCAGAGAATATATAAAATGACACAAAATCAGCCAGCACATCATGCGTGGCAGGTTTATTTTATTACACACAGAGTTTTCATAGATTATTATTATATTTTATCTTAATTCTCAGTAGATTTCCCTAAACATACTGTGGTGTGTATATAGATATATTCGCAATAATATATCTTTATTTACATTCCAAAATGGACAGGCACCCTCAGATTTTATTGCTTCTTTCCTGGCCATCCATGCTGCTGGCGAGTGAAATAATTGCAGCTTTTAAAATATCTGTGCTGCATAAGTGACCGCCGGAAGGCTTTTTGCCTAAAGAATTTTCATTTCATGGTCAGTTAAGCTCGTATGCATCTGGAAGAAAAAGGAAACCTTGACACAATTACAACACGGCCAGTTCTCACTGCGCTGTGAGGGGATTAGATTTGATTCTCCAACATTATTCCTCTTTAGCAGCTCTTTCTGTGGACAGTGCTTCTGATTGTGTGGGGACTATATTAGCAGGTTTGGGGGAGAATGAGGGCACTCTGCTCTGTGCCTGGTGGCATTGTGACCGTCCCTCTGATTCTTCTCTATCGCTCATCACTCATTGTCCTCCTGAAAGACTCTCAGTCTCTCTCCTCTTAATGGAATTGATCTCAGTTTGTCCTGCTCTCTGGGACTGGTACAGACAGTGCCGTGCCTTTGAGTCAATGCCTTACATTTGTAAAGGACTCACTAAGCGTTAGCGGAAGTTAGCACCGTAACCTCCTAACGCTGTCCTTCAGTCATTTTGATGCATTATAGAATTATTTTTTAACGTCTAATGCGGAAAGACAGACCATTAAGTGCAATTCAGGAACTAACTGATGTAATATTTAAGACTGGTGGGCAGTAAGGGAGTCAAAAAAAAAGGCCATTTCATCTTTAAGCAGCAACTGAAACAAATCTATAACAGAACCGAAAAGCGTACCTGTGCTAGTTTCATCTACCCCTGTTTGTGCTTTTAAGTCAACTATTCCTCTAATTCCTTCCCTCTAACGCTCTGCGTATGTCAGACAAAATTAGCCGCAGATGCTTCTGGCCGAACACAGTTCCCAAAAATCCATTTCTCAGCTGTGAAGAAGTCTGGCAGGATTCAGAATGTGAAGTCATTATTTATTTAATCTGTTCCCCTAACAAGCTCCTGCATCTCATTTTGTCCCGATACAATCTGGGTTCTGACTGGATCTCTGAGTTGACACAAACTGATAAGGAAGCAAATAAGGTGATCACATATTTTAGACCAACGCTTTGTCTGAGATTGCATACAATTAGTAGGTATACAATTGAATAAACTGAATCCTCTCCTGTGGCCTAACAGGAGAGTAAAGAGTCCATCAAATGCACATTCAAGAATCTTGGCAGAATCAGAAAGTACTTACTGTTTCATTGTTATAGCGCTTTATTTTACATTCCAATTCCAAATGTGCATACAGTACTACACTACCTGACAGAATTCTTGTTGTCAATCCCAGTTTTAAGAGCAACTTAACTTCTAGTTGATCATTTGGAAAAGTGCCAGACGGTAGATTTTTCAGATGAATCGGTCAAGTTTGGTGGAAAAATCATGGTTTGGGGTTACATTCAGTCTGGGGTGTGCGAGAAATCTGCAGAGTGTATGGCAACATCAACAGCCTGAGGTATCAAGACATTTGTGCTTCCCATTACATTACAACCCACAGGAGAGGGCCAATTCTTCAGCAGTGTAGTGCTCCTTCTCATACTTCTCATACAGCCTCCACATCAAAGTTCCTGAAAGCAAAGAGGTTCAAGGTGCTCCAGGATTGGCGCTCCCAGTCACCAGACATGATCATTAAGATGAAGGAGGGGGCATTGAAGATGAATCCAAAAAACCTTGATTAACTCTGGGAGTCCTGCAAGAATAATATTTTTACCATTCCAGATGACTTTATTAAAAAGTTATTTGAGCCATTGCAGAGATGTATGGATGCAGTCCTCCAAGCTCATGGGTCATACACAATTTGAATTTTTTTTCCACTGCACCATCACTTTATAATAAATACTGTACATTATTTCTGTTTAGTGACAAAACTTTTGGCAAAGCAAAGTCAGACCTTAATTAAATAATTTAAAATCAACGCATGATCAGATTTTGTTTTTGTAAAATAAGCGTAATCTGGAGGCATCACCTTTCATATAAGCCACTTCTGGTATCACATGATCAAGTAGAAGTCAAGTTATTATTTGTTGTTCCTAAAACTTGGATAGGCAACGACTTTTGTGATTTGTACTTATTAGAATAATTGCAATAACCATTGTAATAATAACTGTGCACTAGTCCTTAGCATACCTCCAAACTTAACCTTAACTCATGCAGTGTAAGTACACTGTTAGTATGTAAATCTAAAAAAAAACTTTTCATCAATTTGGAAAAAATAAGCATGTGAGCAAAGAATTTTGTCCAAAGAATTCTCTAAATTTTGGATAAAATGCTTTGCTCATATACTGTTTTTCTTATGGCTTTTTGTTTAATTCTTTTGATAAGCATATATCTGATATATTGACATTATTATTATTCTGTGCATTATTTTTTGTAAAAACTAAATTAATTTGTCTGAATATAAATACATATTTATAATGAACATAGTCATCTTGTATGGCTTATTTTGCTAAATTAAATAAAAACTCATAGTGTGTTGAAAGTACAGCACACTTGTGTAAAGCAGGTGTCTCTGAGACTTGCAGGACTACACAATGGTACAGTTTGTCTTTTAAACATGTTCCCTCACAAACCAACGAGGGTCTGACTGCTGTGTCTGAATAAAATGGAAAATATGACCAGTGTTGCAGAAACTATATTTTTCTACTGCTCCAACACCACACACACACACACACACAC